ATAAAAGGCTTAGAATATGATATAGATTATAATATTTAATATTTAATATTTTTTTAAAAAAATATTTTTTGATAATATGAATTATTAAAAAAAGTATTATAATTTGATAATTATCATATTTACATTGCCGAAGTCACATAGACTTTGAAATCGGAATTATAAGATCACACAGAAGACAACGAAACCTATTTCATAGCACACTTTTTTATTATTATTTAATAATCATAAACGGCTTAAAGTATGACATTGTTGATCATATTTAATGTAATTTTTTCGAATTCTATATACTATCAATTTTTAAAAAGTAATATATTTATTATCGTAGTACTTATTTTCCGAAAGTCAAGAAGACTTTGATGTCCGAGTTGTAAAATAAATAAGTCAAGGCAACATGATTTTACGGTACTGTTTCTTTTCAATATTTAATACTCTTTAAAAACTTCAAAGTATGACATAAACTATCATACTTAATTTTACTTTTTAAATATTTTTCATATTTTTAATTTTTGCAAAGTAATATATTTTTATTATTATGATTTTTATATTCCCAAAATTCTAAAGACTTTGAAGTTGGAATAGCAAAATAAAAAAAACAAGGCAACATGATTTTACGATACTTTTTCTTTTCCATATTTTATATACTTTAAAAACTTCAAAGTATGGCATAAATTATCCTATTTGTTATTATTTTTAAATATTTTTTTATATTATTTATTATTAAAAGGTAATATATTTTGTTATCAAAAAAAAAAAAAAGGTAATATATTTTTATTATTGTCTTATTCCTATTTCCGAGATCACGTAGTCTTTGAAGTTATAACAGTAAAATGAAACGCAACCTGAATTCATGGTACACTCTCTTTTATTATCGAATGCTCATAAAAGGCTTAGAATATGATATAGATTATAATATTTAATATTTTTTTAAAAAATACTTTTTGATATTATGAATTATTAAAAATGTATTATAATTTTATAATTATCATATTTACATTGCCGAAGTCACGTAGACTTGAAATCGGAATTATAAGATCACACAGAAGACAACGAAACCTATTTCATAGCACACTTTTTTATTATTATTTAATAATCATAAACGGCTTAAAGTATGACATTGTTGATCATATTTAATGTAATTTTTTCAAATTTTATACTATAAATTTTTAAAAAGTAATATAATTTATTATCGTAGTACTTATATTCCCGAAGTCAAGAAGGCTTTGATGTCCGAGTTGTAAAATAAATAAGTCAAGGCAGCATGATTTTACGGTACTGTTTCTTTTCAATATTTAATAGTCATTAAAAACTTCAAAGTATGACATAAACTATCATACTTAATTTTACTTTTTATATAATTTTCATATTTTTAATTTTTGCAAAGTAATATATTTTTATTATTATGATTTTTATATTCCCAAAGTTCTAAAGACTTTGAAGATGGAATAGCAAAATAAAAAAAACAAGGCAACATGATTTTACGATACTTTTACTTTTCAATTTTTTATATACTTTAAAAACTTCAAAGTATGGCATAAATTATCCTATTTGTTATTATTTTTAAAAAAATTTATTATATTATTTATTATTAAAAGGTAATATAATTTTATTATTGTCTTATTCCTATTTCCGAGATCACGTAGTCTTTGAAGTTATAACAGTAAAATGAAACGCAACCTGAATTCATGGTACACTCTCTTTCATTATTGAATGCTCATAAAAGGCTTAGAATATGATATAGATTATAATATTTAATATTTTTTTAAAAAATATTTTTTGATATTATGAATTATTAAAAATGTATTATAATCTTATAATTATCATATTTACATTGCCGAAGTCACATAGACTTTGAAATCGGAATTATAAGATCACACAGAAGACAACGAAACCTATTTCATAGCACACTTTTATTATTATTTAATAATCATAAACGGCTCAAAGCATGACATTGTTGATCATATTTAATGTAATTTTTCAAATTTTATATACTATCAATTTTTAAAAAGTAATATAATTTATTATCGTAGTACTTATATTCCCGAAGTCAAGAAGACTTTGATGTCCGAGTTGTAAAATAAATAAGTCAAGGCAACATGATTTTACGGTACTGTTTCTTTTCAATATTTAATACTCATTAAAAACTTCAAAGTATGACATAAACTATCATACTTAATTTTACTTTTTAAATAATTATCATATTTTTAATTTTTGCAAAGTAATATATTTTTATTATTATGATTTTTATATTCCCAAAATTCTAAAGACTTTGAAGTTGGAATAGTAAAATAAAAAAAACAAGGCAACATGATTTTACGATACTTTTTCTTTTCAATATTTTATATACTTTAAAAACTTCAAAGTATGGCATAAATTATCCTATTTCTTACTATTTTTAAAAAAAATTATTATATTATTTATTATTAAAAGGTAATATTTTTTTATTATTGTCTTATTCCTATTTCTGAAATCACGTAGTCTTTGAAGTTATAACAGTAAAATGAAACGCATTATGAATTCATGGTACACTCTATTTCATTATTGAATGCTCATAAAAGGCTTAGAATATGATATAGGTTATAATATTTAATATTAATTTTTTAAATATTTTTTGATATTATGAATTAAAAAAGTATTTTTTTTTTATCATTATCATATTTACATTCCCGAAATCACAAAGACTTTGAAATCAAAATTCTAAGATCACAAAGAAGACAACAAAACCTATTTCAGACCACAATTTATTTTTATTATTTAATAATCATAAACGGCTTAAAGTATGACACTATTGATCATATTTGATATACATTTTCAAATTTTTTATATTATCTATTATAACAAGTAATATATTTTATTGTCATCATATTTATATTCCCGAAGTCAAGAAGACTTTGATGTCCGAACAGTAAAATAAAAAAGACAAAACATTATTATTATACGGTACCGTTTCTTTTCAATATTTAATAATCATTAAAAACTTCAAATCATGACATAAATTATCATACTTAATATTACTTTTTTTAAATAATTTTGATATTATTAAATTTTAAAAAGTAACATATCTTTTTTTTTATGATATTTATATTCTCGAAATCCCGAAGACTTTGAAGTACAAACAGTAAAATAAAAAAGACATGGCAACGTGATTTTACGATACTTTTTATTTTCAATATTTTGTAATCATTAAAAACTTCAAAGTATGGCATAAATTATCCTATTTTTTATTTTTTTTATATTATTTATTATGAAAAAGTAATATATTTTTATTTTTGTCGTATTTCTATTTCCGAGATCACAAAGACTTTGGAATTATAATAGCAAAATGAAACACAACCTGAATTCACTGTACTTCTCATAAAAGGCTAAGAATATGATATAGATTATAATATTAATTTTTTAAATATTTTTCATATTATGAATAATAAAAAAATGTAATATATTATCATTATTATTGTTATTATAGTTACATTCCCGAAGTCACAAAGACTTTGAAATCAGAATTGTAAGATCAGAAAAAGAATTGTAAGATAAGAAAGAAGACAACAAAATCTATTTCAGAGCACAATTAATTTTTATCATTTAATAATCATAAACGACTTAAAGTATGGCATTATTGATCATATTTAATATAAATTTTTCAATTTTTTTATATTATCTATTATTAAAAAGTAATATATTATATTATCATCATATTTATATTCCAGAAGTCAAGAAGACTTTGATGTCGTAAAATAAAAAAGATAAGACATCATAACTTTATGGTACCCTTTTTTTTCAATATTTAATAATAATTAAAAACTTCAAAGCATGACATAAATTATCATACTTAATATTATTTTTTAAATATTTTGATAATATTTTTAACTTTTTTTGGATATTATTTATTTTTGATATATAATATATTTACCTTATTATACGCTCTCTCATGAAAATTCTGTCTAGATAATAAAATTTGGAATATCGCATTAAGCATTATTTTTATATAATTTTTTTTAAATATTAAAATAAAATGGAATATGATAAAATTCGTTTCTTTTTCTTATTCACTAATCTCCCTTTCAGTTTATTTATTTATAAAAATAAAATAAATTTTGGTTTATTCATAACATATTGAAAATGTAAATATGATAAATTTATTCTTACATCCTATATCTAATTTCATAACATCTCATCTTATCTTATCCTATTTTACTTATTATGAAATATTCATGCTCTAAGCGAGATCGTTTCAAATTGTAAGGTGTCGAGAAATTATCTGGGACAAAAGTTAGTAACACATGCCCCTCCTTTTGGTTGAAATTACGTAACTTGCCACTTTCCTTTTTACGAAGTAATTTTTGATTATGTTTTAAATTTTTAATGCATCCATTAACCGCCAAAGGTGTGTTTAGGAAAAAGAAAAAGAGAGAGAGTAAATATATGTAATAAAAAAAGAAATAAATAGAAAAGGTTAAGGAGGGTTGGGAATTTTGGGATTGCATTGCACTTGCATTGCTCCCCTAAAATAAGCCATATGATTTAAATGTGAAAGCTGTCCTTCATTGCCAGCTTGACAAATTTTAACATGGTTTACACTGAGTGGGCTCAGAATTTTTCAGGCCATTCCGGGTCAACTCGGTTTTGTTCCCACTCATCATTGCCTTTACGCTTTTTGCTCTCTCTCTCTCTCTCTCTCTCTTTCATAAACCTTCTCTTTCCTTCCTTTAGTTCTTTCATTCCCCATAAGATTAAATAAAGACAAATCATTACTAACTCATTTAAAACCATAGCTAATTCATTAAACATTTGTAATAACCAATAATAAAAATAAGTAGTAGTAGTAGTAATAAATAGTGATGTCATTTTTTTAGTAAGAGAAGGAAGGGTATATTTATTACTCATATCTAACCCACAAGTAGGGTCAATAACTTAACCATAGATTAGAACCAGGGTTAAAAAACACAAGTGGTTAAGAAGGGACAACCCCATAACCAGGATTTTTCATTATCAACAGTCGTCACTGAGCATCATCAACCTCTCCTTCTCTTCCTCCTCCTCCTCCTCCTTCTTTTCCTCCTCATCATCCTCAAGCTTACCTAAGTAACCCTTTTCTTTTTCTTCTTCTTCTCTCTTGTTCTTAGTTCTACCTAGTACCTACATCTACTAACCTAATTTGTTTTCCTTAATTTTTCAGAAAGTGAAAAAAAAAAAAAAAAAAACAGTGGTGGCAGCTGGATCATCAGCAGCAGCAATAGTTTGGTGGAGTGTGATATATTTGTTAAGGTGTAAACAAGCCTAACCCTAACAAGTGACAAACAACCCCATAGTTAAAAGCTAAGATTTTTTTTTTTTTTTTTGTGTGTGTTAGATGTTAATTTGAGCGATGGACATAATCACCACCACAAACACAAACACCAACACCAACACTCCTACAAGTATAACAACAGGAGCGAAATCACCAGAACCCGAACCCGAGACTCCGACCCGGATCCAACAACAACCACTACCACCCCCAAACACCATAAAGCCCTTATCTTTCTCCAACGGGGTTCTCAAGCGCCACCACCCTCACCACCCCCACCACCACCATCCCACCGTGGCGGCCACCTACAAAGAATGCTTGAAGAACCATGCAGCCAACTTGGGTGGCCACGCCTTAGACGGTTGTGGCGAGTTCATGCCCTCCCCCACCGCCACCGCCGGCGACCCCACCTCCATCAAATGCGCCGCCTGCGGCTGTCACCGGAATTTCCACCGCCGTGAACCGGACGAACTTATCTCCGCCACAACACATGTCATCGAGTACCAGCCTCACCACCGCCACCATCCTCCTCCGCCACCTCCGCCGCTGAACCGGAGCCCCAATTCAGCATCTCCGCCGCCGATCTCCTCATCCTACTATCCCTCCGCGCCCCACATGCTACTTGCACTCTCCGGCGCCGGCGGCCTCTCCGTCGCGCCGGAAAACACCGCCGCTCCGACGAGCCTCGCATCGCCGAGCCCAACAGCGAGGAAGCGGTTCAGAACCAAGTTCACTCCAGAGCAGAAGGAGAAGATGCACGAGTTTGCAGACAGGGTTGGGTGGAAGATGCAGAAGAGAGATGAAGATATGGTTATGGAGTTTTGCAATGAGGTTGGTGTTGATAGAAGTGTTCTCAAGGTTTGGATGCACAACAACAAGAACACTTATGGTAAGAGAGATAACGTTAATGTTAATGTTAATGTTAATGCCAACGGTGGTGTTGTTGGTGGGAACATTCTGGAACAAGACCACAACATTAACGCAATCAACACTGGAATCAATGGTAACGGTAACAGCAACGGCGACGACAACAACAATAACAACCTTGTCTCGCAGGATCCAAGTCAGTACGAGAATGATAGTGGGACTAATGTTGGTACTAATGGGTCTTCTTCTTCTTCTTGATCTTTTCATGGAAGAACAAAAAACAAGAGAGAGAAAGAGAGAGAATAATATGTTTAGTTTAATTACAGTAATTAGCTGGGACCAGTTAATTAGCCTTTTTTTTTCATTTAATTGTTTAGTTTTTGTTAATTAATGAGATGATGATCACCTTCTTAACATGGGATATCCACAGGGAATTTAATTTTCTGGGTTCATAACTTTGTATGTATTCCCTTTTTGCTTCTGAAGCTTATAATTAAATGCTTATTAGTCACAAAATGATTAGTGTTATTCCTTCTATATTATATTCCTTATTTATTATTATTATTATTATTATTATTTTTCTATATTCTCTTCTCTTTGCTTACTTTTGGTCTTTGGGATTGGATTTTCTTCAGGGGCTTTTGAGGGGCGTGTGTTAAAAACGGTGAACTTGGCAGTGTATTATTTGGTGTTTTGTTTTGTTGAGAAGATGATAGCAAAGCATTCTGCACTTTTCTCTATCTCCGGTCAGACATAAAAATATTTATTTATTTTCTTCATATCTTGTGTCCGACTGATAGAGGCAGAAAGTGTTTGCTATTTAGATTTTAGATGGTATCAAGGGCGGTTTGTGAATTGATAGTGTTATGCTGTTCCTGTTTCCCTTTGCAGCTATGCTCTATATTCTAAGAAGAAAATTAAGCAAAAGAGGTATAAACAAATCATATTCTAATAGCGAGTGGATTTTTGTTTTTGGTAATCTGTGTGTGTAACGGATAAGGGGTGAAAAATAATGTACATGAAGGATGATGATGTGGCTAATGATTCCAAAAGAAACCTTGTTATCCTTTTAATTATTCTATCTAATCATGCATGCAAATGTGCTTTTATAGTCTTTATGCTAAAAATGAGAGGCTAGTTTAGTTTGAGGGAATCTTAATCCTATATATATATTTTAAGATAATCTTATTTAATAGTTTACAATCTGACTAGCTAAATCTTATATAATAATCCAACTGCATCTGTTCTTGGAAATGTTTGTATTGTACTTCGTAGGCTTTTTCCTTTTAAGGCAAGTAGATAACTTTATTACCAATTAATAATGATATTTACTAAAATATTTAAATAACAAAGAGATTAGAGAGAGAGAGAGAGAAGGGGAAGAGCGGTTTTGTGTACCACCCGTTACGTTATGGGGGTGTGTTGTTTTTGGTGACTTCCCTTATTTAATTTATTACTTATCTAGGGTCCACTCATCGGTTTTGTTTTGATTTTTTGGTCATTGGTGAAGTCACTAATCTTGTTTTGGCAGGGGGTGTGGGGCCCTTAGGAACTGTCCATGGTTCTCCTAACTTTTGAGGCATGGGATGGTCCCTGCCCTTAATTGCCCCCTTAAAAATAGGGATATTTTGTGTAGCATTTTGTGTAGCTGATAAGGAATTACCTCAATTCCCCCCACTAAATGAAACAGTAATCCACTGTACGAATTTGGTCACCTTTCCTATCTTTGATTTCAAATGCATTGTTGCATTAATATTTACTTTATGAAAAGATTTATTTGGAGTGCATTTGTGCTTTACTGTTGACAACAGACACTTGAATTTTTGCTCCGTTTTCTTCATATTGGTGCATCCTCATGAGACTAGCTAGCTAGCTAGCTAGGTGGGTTTCTTTATTAGAACTCATGAACAAATCATAATAGTTTGATTGTATCATTTGATTGATAAAGGGAGAACAACATATAACAAAGGATATTTGTAGGAAGAACTTGCTGAAGTTGAACCAATAAATAATTGAAAGGATAATATATGTTTTTTTTTCTAGTTGATAATTACTTATAATCTTAAAAAGTTGAAATGTATCAATCAGTGTAGTTCAGTTGACAACACATACTGAGTAAGAGGGGAGAGAATTTACGTTTAATTCCCACCAAATACAACTTTGAAAAAGAACGAAGAGGTTTATCTATGACCAAGTCTTGATTCAGAATTACTCTCATAGTTAACTTAAAATATTGCCTCAAAAAAATAATTATAGTTGGTTAAAAAAAATTGGAATGTATATGTAAAGCAAAAATATTTATACTATTTGCCTCCGTAAAATTAGTATTCTGAACTCCATTTGTGAAAAAAAGAAAAAAGAAAAAAGAAAAGAAAAAGAAAGAACAATTTTATGAAATGGCTTGTTGGACTTGGACATGTTAAATAAATTTTTTTTCCATCTTAGTAATAGTATTATATTATTTTGACTTTGAAGTTTTGAAATGATTAATTTTATAAATTACTCTGTCGGCCTTACTTTAAATCTGCACAAACAGATATGCTTACATGTGAAGCTATACTCCCTCATGGTTTAAATTTAAACTATGCATGAAGTGATGAAGGCTAATTTAGCTCGAACGTCTATTAATTTCAGGGAGAATATCAATGGCGAAGAAAATCGAATTTCTTATATTTAATTGAAAAATAAATTTCTTTATCTCATTTTGAAAGTTAGAAATTATAAAATTTTCCATGCATTACTTAGTACCTAGTTTTTTTGTGATACCCATAAAGCATTTCATTGTCTATTAATATTCAACAAATATTTAATAATTCATATCAAGTATATATCCCTTATTTACCATAATAATTTCTTAATTTAAAAAAATATTATTATGGCATTTAATAAATTTTAGGGTTTTGATTATTTATTTATAAAACCAAAGTTTTGGTCTGTAAATATATAAATTTTTATAATTGTAGTATGTAATATGAATATGAGACAGTTACAATTATAGATAGACAATTAAATGTCAATATGGTTTTTACCTAACACCAATGATAAGGTTGATTGTGTACCAAAAAATAAAAATAAAAATGATAAGGTTTATGGTACAAAAGGATTCTTTCCTTATCCTCCTGTCTTTATCCATAGTAATCTTAGCATTTTCATGTGGGTCAATAAAACAATTAACATTCCCTCAGAATTAAATGCTGAAACGCTACATAAGAATATATAATCGTGGAGATTAATTTGTCTATGTCCAAATTCCACATATATAGAAACATCCTCATCATAAGATAAACTCTCTTTAGCAAAGTGTACATTGCTTTTCATCAAGGATTAAGAAGATAATGCACACGTGGCGAAGTGTTCTTATCTTAAGCTTACATTATTGCTTAATATGGGAGTTAGCTTTTGCTTTTGGAGGGTCAATAAAGCTGAGTTTAACACCCTACACGACATAGTGTTGACAAGTAACTTTCTGTCCCTACCTGAAACATTTCATTCTAGATGATGTGACCCCTTAAATTACATGATTAGGTACATGAACTTTTTTGAGCTTTAACTTCTAAGTCATATTATGTTATATTATATTAATTTGGAATTTATAATTGTTATGTCACGTAAAATTGATTGTATTATGTTATAAACAAATTGAAACCCGTGCCTCAATTTTTTTTAAAATGATGGGACCATGTGTGTTGTTTCTATATGAAAATACAAATTCTTCCTATGACACGACAATTGTAATTCCCAATTAATTTAGGACCAAAGAGTTTCGATTTCACACAAGAATGATTTTTTCTTTTATGGACATAACAATTATGTGAGTCTCAATGAAAAAAAAAATCAGTAAAATCCATATATTTATTATATCAGCGCTAATGTGACATAAGAAATTAATAATTAAAAATTATTTTCTTATATTACATAAGATAAAAAAAAATTTACACTCGCGTATAAAAAATGGAACGCTCTCCTATATTCTCTCTTATCTTTCCTCTAGATGTGTATGTAGAAAATTTTTATTATCTTATAACATAAGAAAACAAAGTATGGTTCTAATTTTTAATTCTAGTGGTTTCTCCTATAAACCTCTTCTAGTCCTGTTGCATTCAAACGTGCGTGCACGTTATACATTACAAACACGTGCCCAAACAGTGCTATTTTTTGAAGTTTGAAACATGAACATTTGCTGGCTAAACTAACGTACTTACGAATTTGAGATCCCAAATCAGGGATCAATTCAAATTTGCGATTGTAATAATCTTATTTATATATTTAAAATAAAAAATATTCATTTGATCATGTTATATTTTATTCACACTATGCCAATTTATAGGAGGAGAAAACTTTTCCTACTTATTTAAATACATTGAAAAATTTAAACCAAGGTGTTATATTTCCAAATGATGATCATGTATAGACGCATACATACGAGGCATTATCATTTGATATCAGTGTCAAATTTTGAAATTTAACATCAAATTCTATTCATTAATTTCTGACAATCAATGATTATCATTTAATTCCTAATAAATGATAATAATTGATTAACGGAAATCAACAAATAGGATTTGATGTCAAATTTTAAAATTTGACACCAGTGTCAAAGAATTCTATCCCTATATATATATAACCTTATGTCATTTAAAATGGCAAACACTTCTCTCTCTCTCTCTATATATATATATATATATATATATATATATATATATATATATATATGGGGTTAAATATTTCTATCACCCCATTTTAGATAAAGTTATTTACAGCTACCCTTTTTAGCTAAGTATGACCAGTGAAATATAAAAATTATATTTTCTCTCTCCGCCACGTTAGCCGACAATGTTTGAGGAGAGAGAAAAAAGAATAATTTTATTGTTATAACTATGTCTTACAGGTTAGACTTAGTTGAAAAGGAGTAGCTGTAGATAATATTATTATAAAGTGGATGTAGAAATATTTTTTGTCATATATATATATAGGTAAAATTATTTATGCAGCCACTTTACGTACAACAACGATAGGTGTATGGTTATGATTCCCCACATTTAATGCTTTCATCCTTTGTATAGTTTTGATTCCCCGTATTTAATATTTATATATATATATATATATATATATATATATATATATATATGACAAGTATTTGATTGCTGCACGTAGAACAACTGCAGAAATGTAAACCTCATATATATATATGAGGAAGGTTATACTTACAACATTTTTTTTACAACCTCTTACAACCATATCTTAACATAGTTGATTTCCGCCAATCAACAATTATCATTTTCGCAAATTAAACTCATTAATTAATTATTAACTCACAATAAATGATAACCGTTGATTGACGTAAATCAACGGTGTTAAGATATGATTGTAAGAGGTTGTAAAAAAAAAGGTTGTAAGTATAATCTTCCTCTCTCTCTCTCTCTCTCTATATATATATATATATATATATATATATATATATGATCAGGATCATTTTACACCGGTGTAAGACTAAATAAGTCTTACA